ATTCCCAATTCCCAATTCCCAATTCCCAATTCCCAATTCCCAATTCCCAATTCCCAATTCCCAATTCCCAATTCCCAATTCCCAATTCCCAATTCCCAATTCCCAATTCCCAATTCCCAATTCCCAATTCCCAATTCCCAATTCCCAATTCCTAATTCCTAATTCCTAATTCCTAATTCCTAATTCCTAATTCCTAATTCCTAATTCCTAATTCCTAATTCCTAATTCCTAATTCCTAATTCCTAATTCCTAATTCCTAATTCCTAATTCCTAATTCCTAATTCCTAATTCCTAATTCCTAATTCCTAATTCCTAATTCCTAATTCCTAATTCCTAATTCCTAATTCCTAATTCCTAATTCCTAATTCCTAATTCCTAATTCCTAATTCCTAATTCCTAATTCCTAATTCCTAATTCCTAATTCCTAATTCCTAATTCTAATTCCTAATTCCTAATTCCTAATTCCTAATTCCTAATTTCTAATTTCTAATTCCTAATTCCTAATTCCTAATTCCTAATTCCTAATTCCTAATTCCTAATTCCTAATTCCTAATTCCTAATTCCTAATTCCTAATTCCTAATTCCTAATTCCTAATTCCTAATTCCTAATTCCTAATTCCTAATTCCTAATTCCTAATTCCTAATTCCTAATTCCTAATTCCTAATTCCTAATTCCTAATTCCTAATTCCTAATTCCTAATTCCTAATTCCTAATTCCTAATTCCTAATTCCTAATTCCTAATTCCTAATTCCTAATTCCTAATTCCTAATTCCTAATTCCTAATTCCTAATTCCTAATTCCTAATTCCTAATTCCTAATTCCTAATTCCTAATTCCTAATTCCTAATTCCTAATTCCTAATTCCTAATTCCTAATTCCTAATTCCTAATTCCTAATTCCTAATTCCTAATTCCTAATTCCTAATTCCTAATTCCTAATTCCTAATACCTAATACCTAATACCTAATACCTAATACCTAATTCCTAATTCCTAATTCCTAATTCCTAATTCCTAATTCCTAATTCCTAATTCCTAATTTCTAATTTCTAATTCCTAATTTCTAATTCCTAATTCCTAATTCCTAATTCCTAATTCCTAATTCCTAATTCCTAATTCCTAATTCCTAATTCCTAATTCCTAATTCCTAATTCCCAATTCCCATTTTCCCATTTTCCCATTTTCCCATTTTCCCATTTTCCCAATTTCCCAATTTCCCAATTTCCCAATTTCCCAATTTCCCAATTTCCCAATTTCCCAATTTCCCAATTTCCCAATTTCCCAATTTCCCAATTTCCCAATTTCCCAATTTCCCAATTTCCCATTTCCCATTTCCCATTTCTCATTTCTAATTCCTAATTCCTAATTCCTAATTCCTAATTCCTAATTCCTAATTCCTAATTCCTAATTCCTAATTCCCAATTCCCAATTCCCAATTCCCAATTCCCAATTCCCAATTCCCAATTCCCAATTCCCAATTCCCAATTCCCAATTCCCAATTCCCAATTCCCAATTCCCAATTCCCAATTCCCAATTCCCAATTCCCAATTCCCAATTCCCAATTCCCAATTCCCAATTCCTAATTCCTAATTCCTAATTCCTAATTCCTAATTCCTAATTCCCTAATTCCTAATTCCTAATTCCTAATTCCTCCCAATTCCAATTCCCAATTCCCAATTCCCAATTCCCAATTCCCAATTCCCAATTCCCAATTCCCAATTCCCAATTCCCAATTCCCAATTCCCAATTCCCAATTCCCAATTCCCAATTCCCAATTCCCAATTCCCAATTCCCAATTCCCAATTCCCAATTCCCAATTCCCAATTCCCAATTCCCAATTCCCAATTCCCAATTCCCAATTCCCAATTCCCAATTCCCAATTCCCAATTCCCAATTCCCAATTCCCAATTCCCAATTCCCAATTCCCAATTCCCAATTCCCAATTCCCAATTCCCAATTCCCAATTCCCAATTCCCAATTCCCAATTCCCAATTCCCAATTCCCAATTCCCAATTCCCAATTCCCAATTCCCAATTCCCAATTCCCAATTCCAATTCCCAATTCCCAATTCCCAATTCCCAATTCCCAATTCCCAATTCCCAATTCCCAATTCCCAATTCCCAATTCCCAATTCCCAATTCCCAATTCCCAATTCCCAATTCCCAATTCCCAATTCCCAATTCCCAATTCCCAATTCCCAATTCCCAATTCCCAATTCCCAATTCCCAATTCCCAATTCCCAATTCCCAATTCCCAATTCCCAATTCCCAATTCCCAATTCCCAATTCCCAATTCCCAATTCCCAATTCCCAATTCCCAATTCCCAATTCCCAATTCCCAATTCCCAATTCCCAATTCCCAATTCCCAATTCCCAATTCCCAATTCCCAATTCCCAATTCCCAATTCCCAATTCCCAATTCCCAATTCCCAATTCCCAATTCCCAATTCCCAATTCCCAATTCCCAATTCCCAATTCCCAATTCCCAATTCCCAATTCCTAATTCCTAATTCCTAATTCCTAATTCCTAATTCCTAATTCCTAATTCCTAATTCCTAATTCCTAATTCCTAATTCCTAATTCCTAATTCCTAATTCCTAATTCCTAATTCCTAATTCCTAATTCCTAATTCCTAATTCCTAATTCCTAATTCCTAATTCCTAATTCCTAATTCCTAATTCCTAATTCCTAATTCCTAATTCCTAATTCCTAATTCCTAATTCCTAATTCCTAATTCCTAATTCCTAATTCCTAATTCCTAATTCCTAATTCCTAATTCCTAATTCCTAATTCCTAATTCCTAATTCCTAATTCCTAATTCCTAATTCCTAATTCCTAATTCCTAATTCCTAATTCCTAATTCCTAATTCCTAATTCCTAATTCCTAATTCCTAATTCCTAATTCCTAATTCCTAATTCCTAATTCCTAATTCCTAATTCCTAATTCCTAATTCCTAATTCCTAATTCCTAATTTCTAATTTCTAATTTCTAATTCCTAATTCCTAATTCCTAATTCCTAATTCCTAATTCCTAATTCCTAATTCCTAATTCCTAATTCCTAATTCCTAATTCCTAATTCCTAATTCCTAATTCCTAATTCCTAATTCCTAATTCCTAATTCCTAATTCCTAATTCCTTAATTCCTAATTCCTAATTCCTAATTCCTAATTCCTAATTCCTAATTCCTAATTCCTAATTCCTAATTCCTAATTCCTAATTCCTAATTCCTAATTCCTAATTCCTAATTCCTAATTCCTAATTCCTAATTCCTAATTCCTAATTCCTAATTCCTAATTCCTAATTCCTAATTCCTAATTCCTAATTCCTAATTTCTAATTTCTAATTCCTAATTCCTAATTCCTAATTCCTAATTCCTAATTCCTAATTCCTAATTCCTAATTCCTAATTCCTAATTCCTAATTCCTAATTCCTAATTCCTAATTCCTAATTCCTAATTCCTAATTCCTAATTCCTAATTCCTAATTCCTAATTCCTAATTCCTAATTCCTAATTCCTAATTCCTGCTTTCCTTTATTTCCACTTATGCTACCTATATCTGAGGAAAAATTCCAAAATCTTTAACATTTAAGTAGTTTCTGTGGTCTCAAACATGATTACAAAATAAAGAAGGTGAAAAAAGTAAACGACACTAATACCAATATAATACTGATTAATGTTATTGGCTCGTTTTTCCATACAATGTATTGTAGCTATTGAATAATTAAACTTGTTTCTACATGAACGCGTTTTATCGTCATTTTTAAGGGCTCAATATCAATTTCAAAATACAGCTAGCAAACTGCCAACACAAATAGAAATCATTATTACTTATAATTAAAAAATTATTAGGTTAACAACATTTAAATGGTCCTCCTGAAAAACCTTTACTCAGAAAGTTTGCCGGTTTTACCTTTGAGCTCTTCATATGGTTCCGACTTAATTGGACACACTGTATGTTATTACGTTTAACTATTATTTTTTTAAATTAAAATTAAGTTGTGATGTAATCACCGTCATAGGGTAATTATTATTCATTTATAATTTTAAGGGTTAATTTTCATCCTATATGTTCGACGCGTCCAAAGAAATTTTCGCTCACAGTTTATATTAGCAGGTGAATTTATGGCTTTTACAAGCTTTTATTTATTTTAGGTTTATTTATTTAGGTCAAATCTTGCAACTGAATTTAAAAACAGTTATTACCAACTGATGGAGCTGACAGTTTACGCCAATTTACGTAGACAGTTGGTGGCACATGAAAATCTTTTTTATTACTAATTTTAGGAAAAAAAGTTATTCTTCATAAAAAGTCGAGCATGGTCTAAAACCTAAAATACAACCATCAAATATCAAATTTTATTAGTCATATAAAGAATAAAGATACTTTACTCTTGAGTAAAACTCATATTTTTTGACAAACCTCGTATACCACTGAAATGATATTTGATGACTGTATTTTAGATTTTAGATAATGCAGAACTTTTTATCAAAAATAACTTTTTTTCCTAAAATTAATAATAAAAAACTTTTCCATATGATTCCAACCTAGGGGGACATACTGTATATACATAATTTTTGAAATGTTATTAATTTATAGTTATATTAATTATTTGTACAGAAAAATTGATATTAATGTGCAAATAAATATTAACAAGATTATTTAAATGATTGTAAATCGGACACCATTGCTTTCTTCATCGTGTGTTTTCGGTTATTTTTACTGCTAAACGTTACTGCCAAATTTACACCGGTGACTACAACATAACAAAAATTCAGGAAATTTCATCCCATTTCTCAATAAACCAGCTGCCTGGTCCTTCATAATGCCTTGCTTTTTATAAAACATCAATACCAATGTACATATTTACCGATAATTTTCAGTCCATACTTTTGTTTAAAGCAGTTTTAAACACAATTGTAATAATTTGATATCCAATTGGCTGAAATATACTAGTATTATATTGTAATTATAACGCAAACTTATAAATACTCTTCAATTACAGATATCGGAAATTCTGCAAATGTTAGGTCTAGATCAGTGTCAATTCACACTGACATCAAGATTGTCTGGAGGTCAGCGAAAGAGGTTAGCTGTGGCATTAGAGTTACTTAGCAATCCTCCCATTCTGTTTCTAGATGAACCCACTACGTAAGTATTGTATTATAAATCTAAAAAATATATGTAAGAAAGTTATTGTTATTGCTACCTCAATGTATTATTAATGTGCATAATCTACCGAATGGTAAACGAAAAACCTTTATAAATATTGTAATGTGAGCCATTTCATTATTCAGTCATGCTCTAATCCTCCGTCCTTCTTTGTCTTATTTGGCCTTTGAGGCTCAACTTGGCCGATTATCATACATAATTAAATCCCTTAAGACCAAACATATGTGACGACTATGGTGGAGGTGCTTTTCAAGTACATTCCAGGGTCAAAGTGATAATGTTTCTAATTTTGGCGAGAACGTTCTGGAGCCCACTAGAAATTTAAAAGTTGTTTATAAATATTGGTGGAGGAACACAGGCAATCAGTAGTACATAGACAGTTGAGAATAAAGTATCGGACTGTGAATATAAATAGTGAACGATTCAAAGACATTCGAAATATATATATAAATTAGAATAGTATTGTTTTAAAATAAATAAGTCTTTAAATAAATTATTAATAAATAAACTGTTGTTTAAAATAAACAAACATAGCCCAATCGGATTAGTATTTTAGATTCTGAAAAATTCGAAGCAGCAATTTTCCTTCGGAATTCGTTGGAGGGGGTCTCTGGTAGTCTAAATTCAAAAAGTTGGGATTCCAAAGTTGTCGTTACCTCCGCCATCTTGATTTAAAGGGTTATTTTTTGTATCTTGAATAACTCATTTATTTTCAATTTTACACGGAAAATAGTTCTTACAAAAGGTATTTAAAATTAAATTTCCTACAATTCTGCTTTTTTTTTGTACGATCGATTTTTTTCGATTTATACCCGAAAAGAGGGGGTGAATCTTTGGTTATAGAATAACTCGTTTATTTTCAATTTTACGAGAAAAATTGTTATAAACAAAGTTGTTTAAAATTAAATTTCCTACAATTCTGTTTTTTTTGTACGATCGATTTTTTTCGATTTATACCCGAAAAGAGGGGGCGAATTTTTGGTTATATAATAACTCGTTTATTTTCAATTTTACGAGAAAAATTGTTATAAACAAAGTTGTTTAAAATTAAATTTCCTACAATTCTGTTTTTTTTTGTACGATCGATTTTTTTCGATTTATACCCGAAAAGAGGGGGTGAATTTTTGGTTATAGAATAACTCGTTTATTTTCAATTTTACGAGCAAAATTGTTATAAACAAAGTTGTTTAAAATTAAATTTCCTACAATTCTGTTTTTTTTTGTACGATCGATTTTTTTGTATTTATCCCTGAGAAGAGTGGGGGTGAACCTAAGTATTGTATTGTCACGTTTATTATTGATGTTGTACCATTATTTTTTCTGTTTGTTTTTTTTTGCTGATTTTCAAAAATGTTATTTGGTACAATTATGATTCCGAGTTTACCCCCACTCTTCTCAGGGATAAATACAAAAAAATCGAGCGTACAAAAAAAACAGAATTGTAGGAAATTTAATTTTAAACAACTTTGTTTATAACAATTTTTCTCGTAAAATTGAAAATAAACGAGTTATTCTATAACCAAAAATTCACCCCCTCTTTTCGGGTATAAATCGAAAAAAATCGATCGTACAAAAAAAAAGCAGAATTGAAGGAAATTTAATTTTAAATAACTTTTGTAAAAACTGTTTTCCGTGTAAAATTGAAAATAAATGAGTTATTCAAGATACAAAAAATAACCCTTTAAATCAAGCTGGCGGAGGTAACGACAACTTTGGAATCCCAACTTTTTGAATTTAGACTACCACAGACCCCCTCCAACGAATTCCGAAGGAAAATTGCTGCTTCGAATTTTTCAGAATCTCAAGCCTGTTCTTCACCTAATCCGATTGGGCTAACATCACAATATTTTATCATTTATTTTGTTTCTTACACGAAAATTGCTATTGGTAGAATAATAAAAAAAATTCACAAAATACACTATACAATAAACATTGAGTGACCTAAAAGTTGTTTTGGTATATTTTTTTTTTCTAATTACTTATTCGCTCCGTGCGCGACAGCAACGCCAAATCGTTTTGGTACTAATGGACTATTTCTGCGTATACTGACAAATACAATTTTTAATAGAATTCGTAATTAAAAAGTATATATGTTAGTTTTAATAAAAGTATATGGATTTGTAAAACATTAATTTATTTTTATTATATATTTTTATCGCTTCCCAGGCAGCACACTTTGGTATAAATTACGTATTTTTTTAGGTACTACCATACGTATGAATACGATTAATGTACTACCAAATATATTCGTGAAAATGTCCGCCTTATAAACGTCGATTACTAAGAATTTATCCACCTATAATTAAACGTTTTTACTATACGTCTATATTAGATTAATAGTTGTATATATTATACGAATTCACTTTGGTATAAAATACGTTTTTTATGTACTACAATATACGTATGGATACTGTTGATATGCTACCCAATATATACGTGAAGATGTCCACCCTATAAACGTACATTTTTTAATTTTTTATACGTCTTACATTACTACTTTATCTACCTTTAATTATCCTGTTTTACTATACGTCTATATTAGATATATTTGTTTGATTTTTATTAATGTGTAAAATGCGTCTACCTGATATTTTTTTAAATGTATTTCAAACACAAATTAAATAAAGTGATCAAAACAAAATTTCTAAAAGAGGCCATGGAAAAATGTTAATATTTCTTAAATGATAGTTTGGATTTTATCCATAGCAGATGTGGATACACCTGAAATAGGCATTACTCGTGTTTCTATTTTGGTTGTAATTGGCCTAAATATTTAGATTTTTTTTGATCACTTGTTATATGTACAGAACAATATTGATTTAAAAAAAAATAAACACTAAAATACTGGATGTGTTGTGTCCTAGACGGGCCTTAGCTAACTTAAGCTAATCTTGCATGGCACACCTAATCGTTCGGTCGGTTAAGTCGCTTGGTTCACCCCTATTCCTATAACCAAAATGTAACTCAATTTCAGGTGAAATATTTTCTAAAAGCTCCGAAGTTAAATTTGTATTATTTTCTTGGAAATTATTATAAATAATAGAATCAGATATATTAATGTCCGAAGCCTTATTAATGTTGTCTTCATTGTGAATTAAAAAAAATTTATTTGACTTTAAAGTATCTTGAACATTTTGCGCTATTTTTCTACGTAAATGACGCAGAGACAGGGTTATTTTAGACATTTTATTAAATAAAAAACAACTGACCAAAAAAAAAGGAAAATAAGTATGCTTGGAATAACTAGGTAACCTAAAAAATACGTATAAAAATAAAAGAAACAAAAGTAAGGTTATGTTTTGAAGTTTCTATAAGCATTTAACACACTACGTACCTATAAAACAGTAGTTGTAAAATGCAACAATTATTAAAGGAGTAGCTAAATTAAAACATTAATAAAAACTTACCTATGCTTTTAATCAATATCGTAAAAGCCAGGACGCCAAAGCACCATGCAACAAAACGTGTATTCAAATGAAAATGGACGAACCGATGAACCTGCTCCTACAAACCATTCCCTACACTGAACAATAATACTACACATACGCATGAGTAGAAATGAGAAAAGACCGTACCACTAGTACGTCATCCTCCATCCGCCATCTAAAAATAGTTCCATGTGTATGGAGAATTTGTTGTAAATATTACAGGTAATATAATTAAAAAAATATGGATGTAATGTAAATAAATATATCTATAAGCTTTTAATTTAAATAAACCTAAATATATACATATTATTTACTTTTGTCTACTAGTTCATCGTAAACTGGTATTATGCGTTTAAGGTGACTTATATTTAAACGTAGAATAATATAGGTACATTAACTAGTATCGACAAACATAAGCGTTTAATTTATATGTTAAAAAACGTTAAGTATAAAAATGGTAGATGGTAAACGTTTAAAAAATCAACCAAAACGAAATTTAAACGGGAATTATAAACGAAGAAAACATATTGTAATATAATGTAAATTTATACGAATTTAATTTAAATAAACCTATACGTATATATAGGCCCACTGTATATAAATAGTTCATCGCAAACTAAAAATAGTCGTATATTGTTAACTATATTTAAACGTAGAAAAATTTACAATTATATACCATAGGATGTATATAAAAAACGTATAATATATCGTTTAAAACACGGTATGTATAATAATCGTAAACTGTAAACGTATACGGAATCAACCAATACCAAAATTAAACGAGTATTACGTATAAAATACGTTAGTTATACTAATGTGTGCTGCCTGGGTTAAATTAAAGAAAATTATGTATAATCAATAAAAATCAATAATAAAATATAGACAGGCAACAGTATTTACTGGAAAATGTATGAGAAGTTGCCTAAGTCTAATAAGTTGTCATTAAAGAATTAGCCTAGTCTGTCAAAATACCATTTAATAATAGCGTGAAGTTAAAATGTATAAAAAGGATCGTTATTTATATTTTCATTTTTGTTCGAAAGAAAACATTGAATGAATGATTAAAACTGGTTTCTTATCAGTAAGTCACAAAATAGCATTCCAGCCACATATAATAATCAAAAGCAGAAATCTTGAAATCTAGTCCTTGCTGAATGAACAAATTAGGAATAAAGGGATATTGAGGAACATCGTAAAATGATAATTTATTGTTTATTTAAAACCTTTCATGTTTCTGATGTCTACTATTTCTAGCATTACTGTTATTATTACAAAAATAAAGGTAATTTTTCATATACACCTATACATTTATTTCTTTAATTTAATTTCCACTTTGCTACTGAAATTTTTTATATAAGTTTCACCGTTTTTTTTTTGCTAGTATTTTTACAATTTTTAACACAGCAACTTCGCTTGCTTATTATTTTGTTTTTACCTACTTTTTTGAAAAAAAGTAAAATGTATACGTGTATTTGATATGCCAAAATTACAAAATATCGCCCTAAAATGCACGAATTTTCCGCAGATAGCGCTAGAATCGCTTTTGCTTCC